CAATAAACAACATAGATGAAATAAAAATGGTGATGATGACTCCCATCTGTGTTCAGCTGGCTTCCAGTGAGTTCTCAGAGGTTCACCAACATATACTCACCGCGTTCTCTCAAAGGAGAGTCTCCCGAGTCACTGTAAACCAATGGAATCTGTTGTACTCAGATGGCTAATTTCCCAGTGTGATGAAAACATGTCTTTCTGAACAGTGGGTTAAGGGCTCCTCAGGTGGTTCAAGAGTAGAAGTCTTGCCTTCCATGCTGGAGACCCAGGTTCGATTCCCAGTCAACCAGTCTCCGGCATGGCCACGCTCATCCGTCAGAGGAGGCTCTTGCATGTGGCTGTGATGTTGACCAGGGTCTAGTGAAGCTTCCAGATTAAGATGGACTAGAAAGAAAGGCCTGGAGAGCTACTTCCCCAAATCAGCCAATGAAAACCCTCCGTCAGATCTGCAACCCAGCATGGGCATGGTGCGGGATCGGGCCATTTTTGTTCCTTGCGTGTGGGGATGCCAAGAGTCGGGAACAATTAGGATAATAAGTCATTTCCCATCTCTCTATGGAATCAAAGGCTCTAGTAACCTCAGAAATGCAAATCCAGGAGGAAGTGAACCTTCAATGTTCACGTGGATTTTCAAAAGGGCTTTTGAACAGAGTCTCCCAATTTCCACAGAAGCCAAGTTAACAGGGGAATGAACACTGGTGGCCTCTGATGGCCTGCCTAGCTCTGGGTCCATCCACAGTTCATTCCACCTCTGTGACCCAGTTACTGCCCATACTTTCCAAATAAGGAAAAACAAACAAACAAAAACATGTGAGCACGCAAGCCTCTTGTTCAAGGTCATGGAAGAATGTTACAACAGGGTTGGAAACCCAGTTTGCTACCACCAGACTCATGTACTTTCTATTCGCCATACGACAGCCAGCAGATCTTGGGAGCTGCATGCCCTGAATATTCCCACTGGAATGCCAGCCTGAAAAACGTCCCTTTGCTGATAGTTTTATAGGCCCTGGGCTTTGGGTCAGATCTGGACTCTGCTCTGGGGTCAGCTGCTAATTTGCTGTGACTTTGGGCTAGCAGCTTCCCTGCTCTGGAGCATATTTTGGCCATCTGGGACGTCTTCTGAGATTTTGAAGC